TAAATTAATTACTACGGTTTTCAATGCCTTTTTAATAAATGCTATCATGAAGAGGTTAAATTCAATCAGCATTTTGAAAATTTGATAAACTCCATATTCTCAATCACATAACAGTACTTCTCACATCAGTAGATAACATTGACGAAAGAATATCAAGTTGATTTCACTTTAAATTATTGCATATTGTTAAATTTGTGTTTCCCAGTGTAGTAACGAAATTTTGCTCGAATTATTTAAAGAAGATATCACGAAGACAAAAACTCTTCTCTTCTGTCTTCGCCCTCATTCTGATAAATGCACCATTAAATGAAAAACTAAAAAGTGTTGATTTTATATATCAGATATTTATTATCATTACACTTCATTGGGTAATGAGACTGTATAATTATTATACAAACATACGAATTTATATAAAAATTTCAGGATTAATTTACGTTTAATCTGAAATATTTTGAATAAAGATGTATTTTGTAGGTATTTGTACTTTATTTACACATTTTTTAGATACTGATTAATCTATATCATGCCTCTTTCAAACGATTCGCTAGGGTTTATATCATTACCTTTTAAAATTTAATATTACTCTTCACTGTTTTATAAATTACATAGTTCTATAACAGACTAGTTATCATAAAATATCTTTTAGCATCTGAATATTATCTGTTCAAAAATATTATAGCTTTGTTTATGCTAATATATTTTACAGCGATGTTACAATTCATTCATGAATTAATTTGGAAAAGGGATAAAGCATTTTGATAAACCTTTTCAAAGTTTCAAAAGAGTTTATTGCTGAATAAAATAAACATCACATCTTTCTTTACAGGAAAAAAAAAGAACCTATTAATTCTTTAAAACTTATTTCAGGTTTTGAATTAAATAATAATAAAACTTAACTAAACAAAGTGTTGAGAAATGAAATGAAGTATCTAACTGTTTCCAATGTGTAACAGCTTCTCTTTTATTGAATGATTATTTCACTTTACACCCGCTGCTTTTAAAGACGCTCTTGAGTTTAAAATAACAATCAAGAAACAAAGGTGTGGTGTATTTAATTACGGCAAAGCACACTAGGGCTACCTGCCTAAGGGGAGGGATGCCTTCGTGGAGGACTTTCTAAGGGAAACTGGCTCGTATACATGTTACACATGGAGAAAACCACGAAAACACGCATGCAGCCAGCCCGTTCGCGGGATTCGAACCTCGGACCGAACTACCAGTGTTCAGCGATTTTACCGCTCGGCCGCTCGTGGGCCCAAGAAACAAAGTCCTCCTGTAAATAACATGAAAGCATCCGATAATTTTTGCTATTTTTCTTTAAAGTGATGCTTATATATTTAAAAGTAAGACTTTTAGCCACTGATTATTTTGGTACTTTACACTAGAATCACCTTACTTTTCTTGATACTTCATATTTTTAACGAACATATTGAAAGAGAAAGAAGTAAACGAAATGTTAGGCAAAGCGAAAGTGAACGAAGTTTTCATTATTTTAGGTAATAGTTAATGTTTACTATGCATTTTCATAGTATAGCAATGATTTAAATAAAAAAATTCGTTCAAAATGCAAATTATTTGAATACCTTTCTTACACTGGGATATAAAATAATATAACTACAATAAAATAATTAACGCATTACTGAAAGTTTACAAACTGTTTAATTTCTTGAAGCATACTTTAATTTTTTGGCATACCAAATGCCAAAGACGATTGAATAAACGAATTGAATACTTTTTTTTCACTTATCCAACTTTTCGAGTAAATTAAAAGGATCTTAGATTTTTCAGTTTCCAAGCTCTCATAAGGAATAGCGAGAGATTATATTTGCATTCGAACGTGGTTATTTTCTTCTCTTCCACAAATATATGAAAGAGAGTGTTTCAAAGCGTTCTTACAACGCCGCTTGCGGAAAAAAAATAGTTATTTCGTGTACGAGCATCTAAGGCACTGGCTGATGACAATGTGTGTTTTCTTTGTTCATTTAAAAAGTCATTTTTAAAAATTATGAATCAAATCCATAAAGCAATTCCAATGACAGATATTTAAAAAATTAATTAATTAGTTATAATTTTCAAATTATATAACAGTTTGAAAAGTTTATTATACGGAAATATAAAAATCATGTCATAATAAAGAGAAAAAGTTTATGTTTTCAGAAATGCAGAAGCAAACAACTGTTTACCAACACACATAAAGTAAAAATTTCAAGTAAGATTGCCATCGATTTACGCAGTTGAGTTTCTAAATATTTCACAACTGCAGTGTCCTAGCTTATTTCCCAATAGCAGTTTTCTATATTTTTCAGAGCGTACAATTCACATAAAATATTTATAAATGTAGTACTCATTATTAAAGATGAAAAATAACACTGAGGAATAAAAAATCTTAAAAATACAGAATCTAAGAAAAATTAATATACTCTTTTACATTAAATGCTCAGTACGAAAGAGAATTCCGTATTTTATTTGTCAAGGGTTTCAAAGAAATTTAAGACTTCATTTCATAGATACCAGCAGAAAATATATCCGCATTTCAAACAAAAAATAAATTTAACCAGAGTTTATTTATAAAAGTTGTCTGAATATATGAAGGAAAATTATCGAAGAGTTTAAAAGTTTTGAAGAAATTTTAGCCTAAAATGTACAAAAGAAAAGAATAGGTTATCTTATTAAAAATAATTTTTCATTAAAATTTTATTAAACTTTCTAAAATTTAAGTCTAAAAATAATATTATCTTTTCAATAAATTGTAAAAGTACCTATTTTTTTTACTAAATAATGGTTACATCCATCAATGACTTCTTAAATTTTCTTCAGAGCATATGAATTCAGAACAATCACTTTTGAGATTTTCCACAGATTTTTTTTAAAAGTATTCACGTTAATAAGATTTGATTGAATAAAATATTGGGCTTGCGTAAGAATTTATAGAACACATTTTGTTTAAAAAAATTGTTTTCAATACGGGTTTCATTCATTAACTACTATTCAACACAATAAAAAATACCGCCATGGAGGTTTTCAGTTATTTATTTTCCAATTAAATGACGTTATTCAATGGAATTTTAAATAATTTAAAACTTAAAGTACTGTAGCGAAACAAATTTAAATAAGCTTCATTATTCGTTCATATTAAATAGAATCTTGATACGTGAAATAATTTTCATCTTAATAGCTTTTTGTTTTTCATTTCAAACCGTGTAGGAATATAATAAAACGGAATTCTTCTTCGTGTAACAAACACATTGCATAAACCTCCATCATTATATAGTACAAAATATTCACAATTAACAAAAGAGTTACCTGCTTTCATATAAATCAATTTGTTTACTTAAGAAAACAAATATGATGATCAACAGACATAACTATCATTTTCTCTTTCATAGCTTGCACAATTTCTAATGCTAGGCAGTTAACATGTCCAAGCATAATCTATGTTAGATATTTCACTTTTAAGACATATCAGGCACAAAGAGTACTAAACGAGAAAATGTATACTTTTTAGAATATTTAATAAATTAAACAAAATTTTCTCTAATTAACGCAACAGTACAATGATAACTGTTGGAACTCTTAGAATTTCTGTTCTCTATATAATAATATATGTACAAAATGCATCGATGCTCGTTCCTATAGAGATATATGTAAGAAAGCTGTTTCTACAGATAGTATACGAAATATATTTATATGCAAAAATGGCTATCTTCTAATAACTCTGCTCTTTCGAAGGTTGTACTTTGAAAAATCTCAGCTAACAACTTGTACAAGATTTTTTTATATATATATAAAGCAGCAGCACACACGAATCAGCGCTTATTTTTTTTTTTTAAATCTTATTCAACTATTATTTTTACAGAATCACATGGGTGCAGCAGTGGTAGAAAGATACCAAATATTTAACATCGGATTACTTTAGAGAAATTTCTTTGAAAATATTTTTGTTAAGCTTTCAGCTTTAAACAATTTTTCACATTTATAAAATTGCACTAAAATTTAGGACACTGTCCAATCACAAGACAGTGAACCTCGTTGACACCCTGTCAAAAAGTAAAACACCATTTTGAAAACTCTTCTAGAGGTACATAGAACAGCGCTTCTGAAAACATTCACGGAAGCTTTTGCTGTTGACTTAATGAGCCACCCATCAGGTACAGTGTTTAGTGACGCCAATGGGCCTGGGCTCGAATCCAGAAGAAGGCATGGATGATTGCAAGCGTACAGCCAAAGAATCTCTAAGGAGAAGAATGAAAGTTTCCATAGACGCAATGTAAACCTGTTTCGCCTCTGCGCCGCTGTACCGAAGAGCCACGGCTATGCAGTGAAACACCAGCGCAGGGTAGAATTTAAACAGCGCAGTTCGAGGAGATAGTAAATTGTTTACTTTGAAATAACGCAAAATGTTTTATTTTCATACATTTCTGGAGTTTTATGAGCAAAAGGATGTTTGTTGGAATTTCGGGTGAATTATAGAAAACCTGTCCAATTTTTACTTTCAATTTAAACAGCGAGCCATACGAAGACAAAATTTAAATGAAATAAATTTCTTAATTCTTTTTTTCTGTAAACTTAAAAAGGGGGGAAAACACATGCCCTACAAAACGTAATAAATTTTTATGAATCCATAGTTAAAATTTTACAGTGAAATTTTAAAAGCAAAATTTGCAATAACTAACTGCTGAAACAGAAAAAAATAATTAAAGACAATTAAAAGCACCCCTAAATAAATTGAAAACACTGAAATACATTATAATTATCCGACAACAACTTTAAAAACAAATTACCATGAAAACGTTTAGACAATTATTTGGAATGACCATTCACCCAATAGCCAAAACCATTTCACTTACAGCATTACATTTAAAAAGTCTTTAAAATAATTTCACATAGCTAAAACCAAGTACCTCTGACTACAACAACAAAGAACCTTTTCGAACAACGTGGTAAAAGATTGCTAATATGGCCGACGGCATGCTGCTTTGTTAGCCTCCTCCTGATGTTATTTCGCACATGCGCAGTGAGGTACGGAGGGGGGTGGATAGCTCAAGGCAAGGATAGCCATCTTGAGGATCAAGATGGCCTTGGATAGCTTTGGGGTGGTTTGCTCTTTAAAGTAAGCTTCAGGGATATACATAATGTGTCGCTTCGGTCTGACGGAGCCACATTTGCCTCGGGGAACCTTTACTTCTTCTCCTTAGAGATTCTTTGGTACAGTGTCTCTGCAGCAAGGGGGTTATCAGAATACTCGGGGAACCGAAACTGGTGATAGGAGAAGACAAGGGGGGACATAGGATCCGGAGGTGTTCTCTCTCAAAACTGGAGTGCAAATGCACAGTTATTGCGGTGAAACTGTACCTGAACGACCATGGTAAAATTCTGGTGTCCCGCCCATTTCTACCTGCACCTGTTGAGTTGTAGGAGTATGGAGTTTTAGTTTTATTATTTTTCTAAATAGTGTATTCCTTTTCGTATCAACAGCTTTTTTAAAACTATAGAAAGGAAAATAATAATAAAAATTACCATTCCACGGAGAACCGTATCCGTCTTATATAAAAAATATACCGATCTGAAACGCACATGTGTTTACCTCATGGTCACGATTGTCGTGGGAGGACAGCACTTTAGGGGAACAAATAATGTTGTAAGGGGAAAATTTCATAATTAAATTCATATGACATGCTTAAAAGTTTTCGTAATTTACAAAAAGGTTGCTTGCGTGTGATAAGAAAATGAAATAAGGCAGAAAGTAAACATTAATTACCGTATTTACTAGAGTATACTTATTCCCTTTTGACTAATTTTACCTCCCAAAAATAAAAAGGGGAGTATTACACGGTGCATATTGTTTCTAACAGAAACGATTAAAATACATTTTTTTTTAATTTAGAAGATTAGAAATAGTATACGAATTGATGCAGTAATATTATTGTATTTCAGAGAAATCTGTAACAGTTATTGCTTTTAATGTCAAAATTTGTACTCACTCTTTGTGTTTTGTGCACTTATGTAATTTATACTTTGCTACTCTAAATCAAAAGTTTCTATATAATATGGTAAAAGAGCTGGGGGTTTTGAAACGGAGAGAATTCTGCGAGCAAATGCGGTATTCCGGAAACAAGGAACCTGTGATAAGAAACATTACATTTTAAAAAAATATTACCTTCATTAATGTTAAAAGTAAGTAAGTACTCTATTTTTCATATCTTAAAATTAATGAGGTTTATTAATTGCTAATAAATCTACAGAGATTCTCTGTGAAATTATACAATTAAAGTAACAAGATCTTTCTCGCAGAGTGCCAACTGATCTTTCTACCATTGTGCATTTATATCACATACATGAGGTAAAGGATGCTCATGGGTGGTATTTGAGATAATTTGCAGTCATTAAAATCTAAAACTAAACTGAATTTTAGTAACTAATTCAATTATATTAAATGGATTTAATAATTATAGCCAAAATAAACTTCATTACTAAAAGTATGAAACATAAGTTACCCCTTCTCCAATAGATACTTCAAGGGAAAGGAAAAATAAAGTGTGTAGGTAATTTAATTTGTTATCTAAACGGTTGAACAACATTGGAAAAAATAACATAAAGGAAAGAATATGGCGATTAAAAATGCACGAACTATACTAATACCATGTTATTTCATGAAATAAAAGAACTGCGTTTCACCGCAACACTATATTCTTCGAAAAACTTAGTCTAACAATTGTTTGTTGAATCATTCAATTTTGTGCAACCAGAATGACGAAAACGAATGAAATAATTTAATTTCGTATTATATGAATTTAAATTGTCTTAAGTAACTAAAAAATAATACTAAATAAAGCAAATTAAAAAATAACTTTCCTCCCCCCCCTCAAATACAAATTGACTTAACCAGATATTTTTGACATCCGTATGAACAAAGTATTCTGTGAGAAAAAAATCAAAGAACACTGACAAATTCGATAAATTGCTCCGTACTTCTACAATAAGATGCATATGCCATAGTGAGAAAAAAGGAGACAGGCCGCAAATTACGAACAAAGCTTGAAAATTGATAGGTGATCCTTCGTCTTAAATCAGGTAAATTCGCAGTTCGTTTTTGCTTTCTTCAACAGATGGCTCTAAGTGTTACGTTTCCTTTTATCATAGAACGCGCGGAGCTTTCTTTCCCCTAAAAATCTGTCGTTTATTCAGTTATTAACTTCCAAGAAAGAAAGTTTGGTCAAAATTTTGAAAAATGTCTAGTTGATCTTTCTATTTTCAAGTCATTTGTTTTTATAAAGGATTAAAATCAGAATTTTTACTTTCTTCATTGATTTATTCTGTTGACAAACAAAAAGAAGGCAGATTCTAAGAAGGAATTTCATTCACTTCCATTGATAGACTGCGAACAGATTGATACAAGATTCTGATAGAAGATCGATAGAAAACATTCCTGAACAGAATATTGAGTTTCATGCAGACATCATTCCTTGTACTAAAAGTAAAGCAAACAGCTAAAAATATTTTATTTCTTCCATAAAATATCTTTGCTAAGTTGGGCTGATGCATTTTAATGCCTTTTAAAACAAATAAGTTATCGAAGCTATATTCTTTTTCCGTTAAGCGATCATAGTGTAGCAAAATAAAGAAAACTGCATTGTCCCATGAGCATGATCCTCTAATAAGGATACAGTTTCTAAACTATTGCAATAGGCATATAAAACGTTCTTTAATTACACAGAGTAGAAATTTCATATCTAAAAAATGCATAGAGCTGGAAGTACAAGATTTTCTAAGATAAAAGCTATTTACTTCTTTTCCCCCCTCTAAAGAAAGACTGATATCATGAAATATTTTTGTTTCTGCTCGTATCAAAAGTTTAATCATGAAAGGATTTTTTCTTTTACGTTTTACTGAAGCGTCATCTTTCCAACAAAAAGGAAAAGTTAAAATATTTCACCCTATATTTCTCCATTCCTATACAGTTTCGGGGGGGGGGACTGTGGTTTCTGAATTCTTTATTTAAGAGTATACGTATAATAACGGTTAAATTTAAGTAAATACTTCTCCAACAACAGTCTAAAAATGAAAGATATTTCTCTGCCTAGAAAGAGGGATAGGCACAACAAACACTACATAATCTGATGCAATGCACATGTGTGTATTGCATTTAGAGAGCCACAATAAAAATGAAATACCCGGCCTTGAAATTGCGAAAAAGGAAGTTTATTCAAATTTTGAAACATGTCCAGTCGAACAAACAGTCCATTTTTAAGTAATTTTTTATAGGGGGGATTCAGAATTTTTATTTCCTTCATAGATTTATTCTGTTGCTAAATGCATAAAATTAATAAATTGACTAGTGTAATATTTAATGATAAAATATGTATATTTTGCATTCCTTTCACTGCTAATGATGTAATTAGTATTATGTTATTTAAGCTTCATCAAATGCTCAGTTTTTCACCATTGAAATCAACCATAAAATTTCTAAACTAAGCATAAATTGTTTTATTAATAAATTGACATAGTTAGTTTAAATTATTATTTTAACATGCTTTTCGGTATTAATATTTTGATTAAAATATTTTCTACACAGCTCTTTTAAAAACATCTTTGTAACAGTATCTTGATTGCTTTAGCATATATATATAAAACACATCATATTTAAAAAAATTGTTAGCAATCTGAATTTACGTGTTACTTTAAGCTACATGTATATAAAGTGTCACGCGTCTGTTGGTTTAATAATTTCGTAATATAGCGTTTGAGTCACATGGAAGCATTATTCACAGCTGCACATTAGTAACGCAACTGAAGCTTCTAGAACGAATTAGCTGATTTCAGTAGCATTTTCTGTTATAGCATGGGACCTTTGCTGCATGTACAAAGAAGTTAAAACGTAGATTTCTCATGAAAAATTTCAATGCAAAATAAAATGTAAGGTAAGTACAGCAGAAGCCCATGTATCCGTATTCGAATTCCCTCTCTATGTTGCAACACCGATGTGCACTCGCAAGTGATGCCACCTTTGTAAAATCTATATATTAGCACGGTTTACGTTTTTGCTCTGGCCTAAAATGCGTTGAATCAATGCATTAACAAAATATCATATAAATTCTTAGAATAATACATCGCATTGGTTTGCTGTTTGTGCCATCTTGCATAGTTTGTAAAATGTTCACGGTTCGTCGCTTCCTTTCCAACAATTTTTGTTCTGTTCTTCTGGCTCAATGTCCCGTTTGAATTTGTTCAGAAAACCTATACCCTTGCAAGAGGCATACACTGGAAGCTCTTTGAATGCGATCTGTAAACATTGATAAAATAAACATTGAAAAGTTTTAGGCATTTGTTGTATTTGCACCGCAACGAATTTTTAATTAAAACGCACTTCAGAAAGACAAAGATTAAAGACTCTTCAAAAGTATATATTAGTAAGTGTGGTAAACATCATTGCAAGTATGGACTTTTAAGTTTATAATTTTAGATGAATAGACTGTAACTTTTGAGTCCCTTCAGGAAAGGAATCGGCATACTACACTGGCGAGAAAAATTAAAGGAACAACTATGAGAAGATACCTTTTGTTCATTGTTTTAAATGAAATCCAATGAAAGGTAGTTAGTTCATAGCTCAAAATACAAATATATGTGAAGGGTAAACTGACATTATTTGGTATTGTGGATGAATATTTTGAATATATTCATCTCCAATATACTATTGAGAATAAATAGCAGTATTAAACATTTTTTGTGGCTATATAATGCTTACAATGGCTTCAGAAACTACCTATAATCATATATCAGTCCGCTGCAAAAGATAATTTTTTAATTTTTTAAAAATGGATACATAAATTTTACTTCTTTTATGAATTTAATCAAAGGAACAAAATTGTTTAATTTTTATATCACGCTGAAAAGGAACTATATGCTAAACTTCAACCACAGTTTTTAAGGCTTAGGTTGCAAATTATAAAATATTCTTCTGAAGAACAATATTTATTCATAGGAGATGACGCTTCAGAAATTTCATCAGATGGAATTCAGAAAAATAGCATTTTTTCCTTCTTGATTCTGTTTACGAAGTATTGTTGTTACGTTAAAAAGCACTACTGCACTAAAATTAACCTGTTTTCCTTTCTCTCTACAAATAAACTGAATTATTCAGTTTATACATAATTTTTCTATACAAGGACCGCATCTGGTTTAAACAGCATACGTACATCATGCTTTTCATATGTAAAGATCAACAAACGCATATGGCGTGTTGGGCTTAATATAACATTTCAGAAAAACAGGAGATAATATTTTCTTTAGTCAATATTTTACGTCGTCACATATTTTAATATTTCAGTTATTGTGCATCGGCTTCAAAATAAAATGTCTTAAAACGCCTTTCAGAAATCTGTAATCATCTTAGATTCACAAACTATCCATTAGAAAAACACTAAAGTAACTTACAGGCTATTCATTAAAGTTTAGAAACTCTCTAGCCGGTCAAACCATATATATACATCCACCAATATTTTTACAAGTATATAGCAGTAAGAATTAAATTCTGGAATTACAATCATGGGAATAATTCCTTTTTATTACAGTTTCGAGAACTTTAGTGTTTTGGCGCTAAATCCCTGTTCTAGGGAGAAGAAACATATTTATTTAATAAAAAAGGTAGTTAAATTTGACATTAAAAGTGCTGCAGCATTGTAGATGGTGTTGTCCTCGTTGGTTTTAGGCCCTTGCCGGCCTCGTGGCACTTTCTATAATTGGTAATAGGAACTAATTGCTTCTGACTTTGCTATTCACGTGACAACTGGTCACCCCCCGTGCACCTTCAGTGCTGTCTTCTGGACCATGAGTCATGCATTCCTCTACCTGAAGCGCCAGTGTAGGCATCAAATTGTTGACAGCCGGAATACGTTGTGTGAAATTGCACAATAACCGCGGCCTACAGCGAAACTTGGAACTTGCTTTGGTGTACGGAGTGCGGAGTTGTTAACAGCGCAGCCTGTTAAGGTATTCTGTTCGTGTGCCAGAACAGAACGCGAAACATTTAGGCGCATAGCACGATGCTTAAAATCTTTTTGAGTAGCTGCACCAAAACAGCTATCTGGTCTCGAACGATTCGGAGTGATGCCTTTTTTGCAGGATGAGTGTAGGCTACAAAGGCTAATTATCTTTTTTGCAAGACAGATTCAATATATCCATCTCAGTAAAGCTATCTTACACGCAAACCTTTTCTTTTCCGTAAAAGACCATAAAAAGTAACAGATCGCGCTACGTCGAGGCCTTTGTATATTTGAGCTGCTGGACATACAATTTTTGAATAAAAGAACGTGCAAAGCTGATTATTTAGATCAAAATTTTTGCAACTTACGAAATGAAAAATTATTGCATTTTTTAATAAATGAATCATTATTGCACACTTGTGGTTAATCAAGTACTACTGTTGACTGGTAGGTTGTCTATTAAAACCCTATCAGCACCTTTTAACCATTCATAAATGATCAAGCAGCAATAGAATAATATTTGAGAGATGGCAAATGGCAGTATAAAACGCATCTAACAAATAAAAAATATATTTTGAAAGTTTTGTTTTATATTGTTTAACATCGCCAACTTATTTTGTTGATCTTAACATATATACACAAATCATATTCATACAAAAAAATATGAAACAATTACTTTTCAAAAAGTGTGCTCAAACCCCACAAAAAAGGAAAAAAAAAATTCTCCAGGTGTTACATACAGATAAGAATAAAGACAGAACACATGTGCAGTTACGTATTTCACAAGCTGCTTATATAAGCTGCACAATGAATGCAAATCCAAAACTTCTCATTATTTCTACTATTCTCGCTCATAATATACTATAATTACTAAAATATAAGAAAGGAAATCGACACATTTTAGATCTGTAATCGCTAAATTAAAAATCGTTCCTATTAAGAAAATTATAATGCAAATTTACAAGCAGACCTTGGTTTACAAACCACGGAGTACTTCCAAAACAAACTGCAAGCATAAAATAAATTGGCTGTTTGAAAGTTCCTGAAGCAAAGACTAAAATTTTAGAATTTGAATAAATATATCTTAACATCGTTAAAGATGAATATTTTAATTTTAACATGTATTTGTTCGCGTAATCTGAGGCTGACAACATTAAAATATTATAAAGTTAGACCTCAGAAATTCAATCGATATTTACATATAAGTTTGCTCCGCTTCTCAAGAAATCTTCCTTTTACAGCCATTTTATCTCAGTTAAAATGCCATACAAAATAAAATGTATGTTAACAAAGCAATTTATATACATTATTTGGAAACCTGTTTGAGATGCAGGTTTTGCAAACATACGAAAAAAAAAATTAACACATCAATGAAAAGCTGAAGTTCTTCAATGGTTTAAACTTATAACCAGAAAACGTTTTCAAAGGATATAATTCTAATTGTAAATTCTCAAACATCAATATCGGTAAACACATTAAAATAAAGAAAAAAACTAAGATATATCAAAATGATGCAAACAACGAAACATATTGCAAAGCTTTGAAACTCTTCTGTCTCAGGTAAGAATTCAAAGTTATGCAGTAAACACATGCATTTTATCACGTAGTGTTAGTTACACAAGTATGAAGATTAAAATTTATATTTGTGAAACACTTCCAAAAGTCCAGATTTGTTTTAAAGAGCAAAAAATATGTGTAATAAATGAACAAGAAATAGACAAATAGGAGCGTAAGGAAGGAACAAATTTTGGGTTTAAATATTTCTTTTGCTATAAAGTGCATACAAAGGGTTTAGGTCCCATTCCACTTCGAGACTTTTCTTTTGAGTTCTTAAAAAGTAATAAAAGTATTCATATACTGTTAAGAATGCGTTTTTATTGTCGTTTGTCAAAACTGTTTACTTCTTTTCCTTTTTTTTTTTTTTTGTTTTTTTTGTTTTGTTTTTTGGTACAGTTAGTATGAAGAAAATTTCTACAAAGGTATCTCTTATAACACGGTTTCGCTTTTAAACAATAAGAAAGTTATGAAAACCTTCTTATAACACAGTAACTCAGTTTCGTTCTAGCACGTAAATTTATATGCGTAAACCATCTTACAACACTTTATGTATGTTCATATTTCGATAACACGATTTTTGTTTTAAACATTTGCAGAATTAAGTTATGTACTACATCTTTGTGTATAATACACAATAAGAACTTATTTATCTCTAATATCTAAATTCGTTTGAATCATTGTCCATCATTTATTTACACAGTATGTACTCTGTTATCCAAATGTTCAAGAGGTAGATTGCATAAATTACATAACTGTGACTCATGAAAATATTTTTTGAAAACTTTTTGGGTATGTGCTACGAATAGCTTTATCGTTTTTAGGAGTAATTATTGCGAAATTATGCTTCAGTCCCAAATATGTTTGAAAAAACATTTTAAAGAAAATCTATTTATTTGGGGAGGAAAATACAAATTTTAAATCGCCGTTAGAATGAGAAAAGGCATCTGCTATTGCAGAAAGTCTAAATTTAAATGAGGCAACAGTAAGAGCCATTACATTTTTTTTTCTTTTTAAAAGTTTTTGGAACGTATCCCTTTATTTTGTATTGGTTGTTATCTTCGTAGAACATGATTTCATACAACATGGTATTTTCTACGAATGTATCTACCGTATTATTGGAGGGATACTTGTCGTTCTTGTTAATATAATTAAATTCATAAGCTATAAAACTATTTTCTTTACTGTAATAAACTTTTTTCCTAACCAAAAAAGCAAAGCAGTTCAGGAAAGTTATAAATGAATACTTTGCATTTAATAAACAAAGAAGAAAAATATCTCATGATTTGGCCTTTTTTGTAATAACATGTTTCACAGTTTTTTTTTCTTTTGTTACAGCCTTTAATTCTTAAAAGCACGTACGGTTTAGCAACTACATCTAACGCTTCTGGAAAGGTGCTAAATTTTTTAAAAACACATAAAACCAATAATTTTAGCATTATTGAATTATCAGAATTTACATTATTAGAATTTAATGCAAAATTTTAAACATAAAAGAACGAAAATTAAAAATTGAGCCATATAAATTTTGTCTATTAATGAAAAGACAGTTACGTAGTTATTTGAAAATCCTTTAAAAGAAAGATTTTCTATTAAAATACTCCTCACTTTTCCTATTCTAATTTCAGAACAACATTTTGCACTACGTAAAAATATTATGCTAGTGCCTTTGGATATGAGCCAACTACTTGAGCGGTAAAATTTACAACTGTCTTTATAGTTTAAAGAAAAGTCTCGAAGCATAGAAAATGTTTGGCACTTGAACAACTTTGGCACCAAACAGAGAAAAGGCGACCAGTATTTAGTAGCAAATACTAAGGCATTTTTTTTTACATATTTCGGAGTGCAGCACACAAACTTCATTTAGCATCTGAAATTAAAATTTACAACTCTATCTATTATACTATGAAGAAAAGAAATAGTAATAATATTAATAATGAAAATCTCTATCCAAATCCATATCACTATTTTGCTTTCGTGCCACTAACTATCAATCTGTTCGAAAGCAAGTTAATCACAAAAGAAACTTCACATCTTCCCGACTGCGAAAGATTGAAAGTTCAAGTTCTATGAATTGATGTGGCAAAGTATTTTTGCAAGCTACTAACATTCATTTTCTTTCAAACGTTAACTCTTTACGGCGATTGTTAAACAAAGAACCATTCAATATAAAGACTGCTGACAGAATACGAACAGGACATTGGATGCTATGACGTTGAGCCAGAGTAATCTTGTTGTTACAAGGCGAGATTACCTCCTGTACGAAAGTGCGACTTGTCATATGAACTACATATCTTGTTGTCAAGTGTCTGAATTATAACCAATCCACTGGATTGGAATTTTCATGGACAACAAGATCACGAAATGCTATTGGGCAGTAGACAGCAGTTTTGTCTATAAATTTTAATCCATAGAAATCACAGCCAAGATCCAACTTCCTTTTCTAGTACTATGGCTGCGTCTTCCCGACCCATCATCCGCAAGATGTTCAGCAAGTCTGTGAGTGCGCTGGAATCACGATGCCTTGCTTCCCACAAGTCCAGAATGTGCTCTGTTGGACTTGGCTTTGTAGCAAAATAGTTTATGTACCTAAATGAAAGACAGACTATGCATATAAATTCATAACATATGGAGATAATTAAAAAATGTGCATTAATCACATGCCATTTAATTGTATGCGATGATATCGCCTACCTTCTTTGAATACTGTATAGAGTTACCCTATAAAATAATTTAAATGTACTAGTTCAAGAGTTTTACATAAGAAGTGATTTTTCATAATATTAAGAAATATTTTTTTCCATACTGAAACACTGGAAATAGAATATGACGAAAGAAATAAAACTAGTTTTCACAAATTTGTTTGATTATAAATTAACAGTGGGGGGGGAACGAAAATGTAACCTGCCTTCAATACTGGTGCCCCGCCCATTGGATCAGGCTGTAATCCCTTGCTCTTTGTCTGTTTTCCGTCTGGTTGGTGATTTGGTGACGCCAAAAGAAGTGTTCTACCAGTATTTTGGCTTTCTAGTTACTCTTCCTGAACCCATCTCGTTAGAAAACTGGCTTCTGCATTGTCATATTATCGCTGGAGGCTAGGCTACATTTTCGTGGGCTACCCCATGCATTATAAATGCAGTTATCATAATTCAGAAGTCAAACAACAAAAATCAGCGTAATATTTTTCAAATTTTCACAGGACTAGTTTCGATGATTTTACCGAGCCATCATCCTCAGCTGCAAAAGCGCCAAATGGATCAATTTATGTTTTTCAGTTTGCCTACCAATAACTTGCCCTTTAAATACAGTAAAATTATTCTTTGAACACAATACAATAATCTTGCGCGCTTCGTAGTATGGCAGTTCTAGATTAGAGGACTTTTCAGTGCATTACAAACGATTCTGTAGATCACAGTTAACATATTATAAAAATGAAAAACTTTAATCATGCAAATTGGGTACTTTTCCCGTCGAAAAGTTCGGTAACTAAAAATTGTCGCCTATAATGTAATTTAGCGCCAACAATGAATGAACATGATATCGCGACTCAGGTATTTGCCTTGTCTTCATATAATCTCGTTTTTTTGTATGCTATATTTGCAATTTGCACCCACTCATTTTTTTAACTAAACAAAGAGCAATCATTTCCTTCCAGACTTATGCCAAAATGACTGGCGCAAGTTCGAGTTCCTATTTATTTCAGACTTTGATGTACTATATCCATAACTTGTATCTGTTGATTATCTAACTAAAGAGCGATTTGATCTTTCAGACTTCTGCCGGATGACTGGCTCAAGTATGGCGCTATGTAGTCCAACTTTCATAGCCAACAATAAAGTACGAATTTCCTAAATTTGTTTAATAAAGGGAAAACATACAAAAACAAATTATTACCTTAGCAATCTTAACTTACCTTTGCTTTGAAATTTGATGCATTGTTATTGAATTATTTTAAAACAAAGTTCAAATGTTTATCTCCTTTACAAACTCAACGTTTATTGTTTTTTATATGCCACAGTGATTATCTAGTGCTGTACCAGCTTCTAAAACAGTTAAATAGTGGATTATTCCCGAAGGAACACACTGAATTGTATTCAAGATTACAGTGTTAGTTGCTAAAGGAACCATCAGCATTTTCACCTTCTTCAACATAATTTTGCTTTCTAACATTCGGTAACAATATTCGTTTAAACTTCCTCTTAAGTTATTTTATTCGATATTTCCAAACAGGAGCAATAGCAAATATTACGATTATGAACTAACCTTGCAATTCCTTGACACATTATTTAATAAATTTTCTCATAGAGCACCTATTACTGGATTCAGACTTTTGACAACTCCTTTTTCCATTAGATGAATCAAGGGTGTTATACTTGTGGATGCTATATAGTAGAATAATTATTTTATATGAATTCAGAGGCCAGAAGAATGGTCAAACAGTAGTCTAAAAGGGGAAGACACTTAATAGGGAATTCAAACGACCACTGGCAGTTCTATCAGGGGTTTGAGTCTCGGTGAATAAGCTGGCTGCATGGGCGTTTTCGCGGTTTTCCCTATGTGTAATGTGGATATGAGCCAGTTTCCCTTAAAAACTCGTTCTCGGGGCATACCTTCCTTTCCTTGTATCGCCAATAGGTGGAGCACGAAACAAACTAATAAATTTAGCCCCAAGTTGTACCTGCAGGGGAATCTTTAAGAAACCCATGCTACTAAAAGTTAATTTTGTGGATTATTCAGAAACATTAAGTTACTGAATGTTTCCGAACAGTATTGCTAAATGACACTGTAGCACATTCGGAATGGCATACAACTTAGAAACATGCAAGTTGGATTATCGAATGTACTGAAATATTACAGGATAATCGAAATTCTACTAAAAAAACTTCACATCTTCACGACTGCTAAAGATTGAAAGTTCAAGTTCTCTATGTTCTCAAGTTCTCTTAAATATGATAGATATTGAATAAGTTAAGTACTTTGAATCATTATTCTCTGTCAGATATTGGTTAGAGGATAATAAGCCTTAAACAATGAAGTAGCCATAAAGCCTCGAATGGAAATGACCGACGCAGTCCCGATCTTGCCCATCTTTTCAGTACATCCAAGAATGCTAAAAAATATCAAAGCGACGTACAGGGTAATAAATTAAAACACTGTTTCTTTTTAAGTAAATTTTAACATTCTAAAATTTTATTTTTCATCCTTTACTTTTAATAAAGTCTTCGATGATATTATCGAAATGTATGCCATCACTCAGCTTCTACTCAGTAAATAGTGTGGTAAGGATTCACTAATATTAAGCCTCACATGTAAATCTAGTAAGTTTTTTTTTAAATCAATTCTCTATTTCTGGTGTTAAATCGTTCTTTCATTTTTACTGTATCATCTACTTCATCACAATATATAAATGAAGTGAGTTTAAATAAGGAAAGATAATTTAAGAGAGACGGTCAGGAACTTCAACTTGAGGTTGTTACATTCCTCTGTTACTGTCAACCTCTAACTCTACTGCTATGAGCTACTGAAGTATCTTTAACTAAAATTAAGTTAGTAGTGGAATCGCGGAGGCAGATTGTCACTTTTTTAAATACTTTGAATCAGTGTTCTCTGTTTAATCCGCAAGAAGTGGAAATTAAGTTTCTGTAGCTTCAAGCTGAAAGTCCAATAAATCTCTTATATACACTGAATACTAAACACTGAATACACTGAATAACTAAACAAAGTACAGCATTGCAGCAAACGTTCACTGTTATCTAGTTTAATGTCACTTATTACTATATTAATATCAATCATTTTGTTGTAATTACTTGGTGCTGTGGTATAAAAAGATAAAGAGGACACAGTAATTCGGTAGTTTAAGCCGAAATGAATTTTATAAATTAAGGTTAAAAAAAAAAAAAAAAGTTTTCTCGGAATTTCGCAAATATAACATCTACAGAAATTGTGAGGAAAACTCGTAATTGTGTTGCGATATATAGAACTGAGCCCTAAACTAGTAAAAAACTCCGCAGGTATCTTTCAACACCTCTGCTTCATTTTCTGTACCAAGCAGGAAATAAAACTTTGACTTTTTTCTCTCTTTTTTAGCGTGAATAGATTAATGTGATTATGAATTATTTAATATTCATATTTTACGTTCAAAAGATTCAATGATTAAGGAAGGTTTATAGCAAGAACACGCCCTATTGAAATTTCGCAACGATTTCTGGCATCATTTTGTCCAGTTTCATATGACAGTTTAGGATTTTAAGCCTCATTACTCGCCACCACTTTCTACTTTCTGCCTAATTTGCCTTTCGATCCATGACTACCCCTAAAATTACCGAAAATTTCTTTGGTATAAGTTATTGAATCTTTAGGGTTTATATTTATTTTAACTAACATTTATTTTAAGTTTAAACTATCTTTCCTGTCAAGCCTTACTTTCCCCTGGAATTGCCAATGCCAGAGTATGTAAATTTTAGTAAAACGCGCAAGGATTCAAATTGTCAGCGGAAGTAATCTGCGTTAAATAGAAGGGAAACGAGTTCGAAAGTGTGCTTTCTTGCTTCACGAGCGTGGAGGTGGCTAGTTAGAAATTGAAAAACCACGCGTTTCGGCCTGTGTGCTTACCTCGGCAGATTGTTAAATCGTTCAACGTAATATTCAGAAGTTTGCTGAATTATCAGCCGTATCTTAGAACGCGGTTAGGTTAGTTACGTGTAGAAAGCCTCGTAGTTAGTCACTTGTTATTATTCTTTTTTTAGTTTCTTATTTTTATTTTACCGCCGGGTCGGCGTAGTTTGTGAGCGTCAAGAGCACGCATTTGTAATTTCCACAGTTGAATAAAAAGGGATTTAAACCCTTCTCAAGACTTTGTCTACTTTCCAGTTCTTAGCAGTCACCACTATTGTTGCGTGCAGGTTGGAAGCGCGCAACATTACAAATCGTTCACGAATTCCTACTTACTTTCAATGCAATATGCCTTTTTTAAAACCTCAAGATTTATGCGACATTTTTGTATGTTTAATCCTGTTGTGGATAAAGGTCTACGTATCGTTAATTTCTAAAAGGACGAAATCCTTCATTCTAAAAAAGCACAAAAGGAAAGTGCAACAGATAGCACGTAAACATATATAACAGAGACGGTAAGAAACGTCGCAAAGATTAGGAGCGTTGCGAGTACCGCCCAAGAAAGATATTGCTACAATCACTCGCGTCAGCCACAGCTGTGTTTCACGCAATCCGATCAGCCATCAAGTTACAACCTTAGGTTTAGAAGTTTTGTCCTTGGTCAAACAGTATGAGTCAAAAGAAACAGCGATTTTTACAGACGTCATCTATCGGCAAACATTGACACCAAAATATATCTAACTGAAGAGACCAAGAAGCAGTTGGTAAACAACACCAGTTATAAATGGCGTCACAAGACCGGCAAGGTCTAACAGTAACCTTAAGATGACCACACCAAGTAAATGCTGCAGTAGGATAAAATTTTAAGAAAAAGTGTTTATTTACCTGCTGAAGATAAATGAAAATGAAAATGGCTCAGATAACTAGTATAAAAAAAGGTAATTATTATGATGATACTTTTCGAGAAAATTCTATCATCGGAATTACCCTGACGGCCAGCACACTGAACCAGGAAACAGTAATAATAAGAATTTCTGATAGAATCAATGGAAGACGAAGGCAAGTTTGATCACTGATAAAAAGATTTTCAGTACCACTTTTAATACAAGAAGATATTGCTAATTGTATATATAAAAAGTCTTCTAGAAAAGCCTGATAAAATTATAATTTGCTTTTCGTAAACCCAGTTATTAAAGTAGGAAACAAATAGAAACTTTCTGAGCAAATTGCATTTGTTTTATTACATTATAAAGCAAGAAGTTTCGACATTTATTTTAGTTTATTGTCATACAGGATATCAAGAATTGTCTTTCGAGAAGAAATGACAATTAACTATAAATTAAAAAATTACCACAAACAGTAGTACAAAAATAGTTAAAAAAATATATTTATCTAGAACCGTCAGACGAGAGACCGAGTTGTTAGAAGATGAAGGATCTGGAGGCAAATATTTAGTGGAAGTATATCTCTCATTATTAACAGTACCATCAACCAGTGTGTAAGCAGAAAGAACATTTTCAATTGCAGATAGTTTGTGCACAAAAATATGTTCAAGGTTTAAAGATAGTTCGCTAGATGCATTATGCTTTATGCATTATGCTTTGTTTCTAATGTTATAAATCATTATTCTACTGCTATTATTAATAATATTTGTTCCTGTATTTAAAATTAGTACATCTGCAGGGGGAAAAAGGAAAGTTCTATATTACTCTTCTGCTGGTCCGATTGAGGAAATTTAATTTGTGCTTTTCATATCTCGAAAGTGCAGCTGTATATATATTACAATTATATACAACATTGTTCTAACATAAATACTTTGACATAAAATTGGCCTTTTTCTGAAATGACATAACTCCCCCCTCCCATATTTCGATTCTATGACTCAAATTATGCCTAAATATTAAATATTGTAAAATTTGGTGAGAAATTTACCGAGGAATTTAAACATTTATTTTGGTGAACTTTTTTCTGTTTGCGTCCAGAATAATTCACTTGGTGAAATTCTTAATTTGTGGCAACTTATTTTTCTTTCCGTTTCGTTGTGTACGAGCGGGGTATGGGTGGGGGGAAGACGATTCGTTTATTTTTTCGAATAATTTTAACAAAGTGCGCAAAACACATTTAGCGTTATTATCCTTTATAACAAATATGTCAAATTTCAAAACGCGACAATACATAAATTCACATACATCGTGGGAAATGTTGAATAAAAAATAATTTTTTGCATGTATGCATAGAAATATATTCGTTACGGTGAAACACCGAAATCTGGAGAATGTCGACTTTCACCGGTGAATGTCAACATTGACATAGTCGCTTGGTGTACGTCCGAAATATTTTCGAAATACTCTTATTTCTGACTTAACCGGTAAATGTCGACTTTCACCATGTACTAATGGTGAATGTTGAACATATAAGAATATTATATTTTCTTCTCCGTAATTCAGTCGCGAAAAGGCACTTGAAACTTAAAATAAGAAGTTAAGAACATAAGAACTTAAAACACACAGTACATTCAAAATGAGAAAGGAAAATAATAAAAGTTAAAAGCTAATTTAATTATACAGTACGTTCTAAATGAGAAAATAAAATAATAGCAATAAAAATCTTACTAAATTATGTACTTCAAATCTTATTTATAGCAACAATTTAAACTATTATGACACTTTATGACCTCCCTTTTCGACCTACACCAGAGCATATCTGTGATTGTCGACATACACCGGTCAGGGTCCGAACGTACAAGAATGTAATGCAATATTCGATCTTTCACCGACGTATTTGGTGAATGTTGACATTCTCCGGTAAAAGTCGACAGTCTCCAATTTCGGTCTTTCACGGTAACATATCTACTTTATATTGATAGCATAAATTTTATAGGTTATAATTTAAAATGTTTTCGAAAAATTTATAAAAATTCCAAAAAATTATAAATATGATAAATGCATCAGAAAATATCTGCGAATGTTATTTGGACTGAACCTAAATTTCTAACTGTGAAAGAAGGAATCAAGTAAGTTTAATAATAATAAATAAAAAAAAAAAAAAAAAAAAAAAAAAAAAAAAAAAAAAAAAGACACATTAATAAATATATACCAGGTTCAATTAATACGGAGTAACTAAAATTTTGAGAGCTAATTTTTTTAAATCTACTCTTGAGATTTTTACAAGACTCCGGACTTTGGTATAATTTGAGTCGTAGAATCAAAATAAGGAAAAATTGGGTATATCACTTCAAGAAAAGTCCGCTTTTGTGTCAAAATACCCATGTTAGAAGAAGGCTGTGTATAAATATAATATATAAATTAAGTCGCGCTTTCGAGACATGAAAAGCGCAAGTTAAATTTCGTCACGGGAGCTATAGAACGTTCCCCCTTTTTTTCTGTGCAGAATGTATATAACGAAATTGTTTATATCTCTATAGTGCAAAATGAATTTTTTGTATAAAACTATTAAGTATAGCAAAGAAACAACCGTGCTTTTGTTCCTTTTTTGAAAAATTCCTAATGCCGGAAGCATATTTCACAAATGCACATCAACGTAGCCACTGAGGGAGGGGTTTCGAAAATGGAACCAATGTGCTTCTATTACTCTTGTGATGCTAAATCTTTGTGCATGTGCGCGTATGCTGTTTACGTTTTAATGTGCAATTGTTTCGCAGTTATAAATGTTTGGTGTAATAGCAGAAAATCTGATAGTGCTTTTGTTTAATGAGTTTAATTAATCACCGACATTTCACTTTCGCGATTTTTATCACACATTGATATTTGGATTGATGTTCACGGCATATTATCGCTCTTTACATCGAGAAAATGACTCATGCTACAATTAGCCTCGAATATTATGCATTTAAATACACCTGAGGATTAAGAAAATTCAAGTGTATAGTTTTATTTTTATTGAGCTGAAAGAAACTGGAAGCGTTTTCTTCTTTGTTTTGTGTTTTCTTCTTTCGGTGCTTGCATTCTTTTGATTTTGAAAGTGTAAGATTCAGAATTTATATCGTGTATGATTTGATTACATCCATTGTTAACATTAAAAGTTATATATGAATAAATTGAATATATTCGTTGTGAATAAGATAAATTCATTTTGTTTGATGAGTATTTCTTGTGTAGACAGTATTTAAGAGTGAGCGGTTAGTAAATGTGAAAATCAACACACTAAATGTAAACGAAAGCAAATTAGTAAAGTTCGCTTCACTGAATAATATTCTGCATTGGCTATTATTATAGAACATCTTTTTCATATAGACTGATAACAAAAAGTATTCGTATAGACTGATAACAAAAGAGTATTTCGTATAGACTGCAATAAAATGTACTGACTTCTATTTACATATGTAATTGGTGTGAATATTTTTCTCATATGCATAGTTGTATGTAAAGATAGCATTTGGGCTTAGATGTTTATCACATATTTCTTTCTTCATCTTATTAAGTAACATTTCACATGGATATTTTTGCGGAGTATTCAACATGTGTGTGTATTTATTTCAAATTCTTTCAACCAGATGATCAAAATCTTCACAACTGCTTATATTTGATCTTGTATATTTTATACCTCTGAATATCACAAGGTGCAATGATTAATATGATTTCCTTTTCTTTTTCTTTATTAGCTTGTGTTCGACTCTCAGAGCATTAAATGACATAATTTAATACAAATAGTAAATAGGTTTCGCAAATGGCAAAATATATTTTCTTAAATATTTCAAGTGAGAAATTGAAGAGTAATCATTGTAAAGTGTAGAGGTGGTACTAAAGTTTTTCAGTTTTTCTTTAGATGGTAGGCATTAGTTAAAAGGTTGAGAACCGCTGGTATAGACACATAAGTCCATCGTTCAGCTCCAAAGTTCAATACAGAGCACCTAAGAACCATCTCGACCTACATGCAGTTTCTCATGAGATATAGTCTCTTGTAAAGGTAATCTCTCCCTTCTCAGTGGTTACACACAGTTCTTAAAAGTAAAAATGCAAATGTATGGTTTAAGTGCATTTGCAGAATGCATTTCAGGTATCTTTTATTTATCTGGCTTATACTACATGCTAGCAGCAATCTGTATTACCTGTCCACTTGCAACTCCTGGGCAAGCCTCCTCCAGTCGTTGCCATTCATATTTGGCGGATCCAAAAATGTCCTCAGCTGCTTTCTTGCTTGAGGTGTTAACCTGTTATTAAGGAAGAAAAATAATAAATTATTACAAATGCTTAATCCAATCATTGGAAATAAAGGAGGAGATACCTTTTATAGTTTGGAAAAAATATGTATGTTCATCGATTTACCATGTAGTATGCATGTAATTATTAAATTAGTTTAAATAGGTGCTTGACTGTAAAATTTTTTTACTTTTAAAAAACATTGTTTAACTTTATTTAATTTCACATAGATTAAACCATGAACAGAAACAAGTAAAGGACAGTGTTTCAAAATGCTCTGTTTTCCTTAACGGCAGATTAAAAATACAGATGTATGCATTATCATGCACATACTTTTGCAAATTATACGAATATTTACGAGTTATAAGTAACGACCATTTGAAAACCAGTCTCACGAATAGAAATAATTTGAATCTGCTTCTAAACTCAGTAATGTTCTATTTTTAGATTAAAAAAAAGTTCTACACACTTGCTTCGCAATCCAGAACATTTCAGATATTATATTTTGTTCTGTGGCAAAGGTTCTCAGGACTAAATTTTGCTGCAATCGACTTAGATGGATATCATTTAGTAGAGTTAGGAATTCCAGTAGTCCTTTCCTGACTAATAATCCTAATATTTATAATTGTTATAATAACAATAGTTCTTTCCTGACTATTTAGCTCACTACTAGGTAGTAAATAACATAATGAGAAAAAGCTAATGCGGTATAAAATGCTTATTTAAATTTTATAAATATGAAATTTGGATATATACATCAAATCATTATACATAAATATATACATTAAATAAAGTTATAAGAAATACTTTGATAAATATACATAAAAATTAATTAATTCTAATATGACATTTCATTAACAGCTTATGAGATGAAATATCTTGAATCTTGGATTAACTTTATGTTCCTTTTAAATATTTGCAATTTTCTATTAGATATTTGATTAAGTTATGCAGTTTATTACGAAGAAAATTACTTTTAAGAAGTTGTTTCAACCAGATTTGTGCGTTGACAGCTGTGAAGGGGCGAAAGTGGAGATCTTTGGTTTATTGAGCATTCGAACATATAATGATCTATTGTTCCTATTGAGCCACAGATGCAGTTGTCAGTATGACGGAAGCCAAAACGATAAAGATATGAAATAAATGGTCCATGTTAGGTAAGGAAATAAGTTGTTGCATTATTTGAAGTTATTAAATTCCTTGATGGTTTTGGTAAGAATAAGTATGTTCTTCTGCCTGTATTGTCTCTTGACCAGTTTGCATTACATTGTGTTATTAAATCTTTTTCCAGTCTTGATTTTAATAATGAAATAGGATTCGGAAGTGGAAAAGATATTGGAATAGTCGAATTGTTTTATAGATAACTTTTCAGAAAGAAATGATGCATTAGGAAGCAAATGAAGTGAATAAGGTGGGAATGCACGTACCTGAATCCTGCGATGGGCTGATCGAGCGCCACCAGAGGGCTTCCAGTCTCGTTGGCCGTCACCGTGGAACTCAGGGGTAGGTTTGTCCAGTTCGGAGTAGGACTGGGAACATTATTTTTCTGGAAGAGGCAAAGATTTTTAATTGTTTAACAAACAGCAAGAAAATAGGCTATATTACTTTCATTTCCTCCTACAACAGAGAAATTCAGAAACGCAGTTACTTATAATTTGTAAAACCGAGTATTCATTACCGACTATTCTTTTAGTCGTATATGGTTGTTCTGTAGCGTCAAGTTATTTTGAAGCAGGAGACTTGAAAAATGAGCAATACCCTCGCCGGGACTCGAACATTGGACCTCTCGATTACGCGCCGAGTGTGCTACTGTTACACCATGAAAGCATTCTGAAAGGAAGGAGAAAATACTTTATATGCTTCCCCTTTTAAAGGGTGACTGAAGACTAAAGACCCAATCACCAGATCTTGGAGATGACGAATTATTGCCCACCACCTTTCAGTTCAGGCTCCACTGTAGAGTCATCAGGTTTTTTGAAGCACGAAATGTGAAATATGAGCAATGCCTTCGCCGGGGCGAACCCCGGACCTCTCGAACGTGCTACCGTTACACCACAAAGGCATGCTGGAGGGAAGGAGAAAATACTTTATAGTTCTATTGCAGTCGTATCCTTTTTGTTATATTGTATCGTCATATTTATTAGAACTCAAAAATCTGCGTACATTTCTTCCATCCAGCGTCTTTCTCCCCACGGCTTTGGTTTCCATATCCTGATGTTACCGATATTCAGCATCCTGTAGCTTATAAAATTACGGCTCCCATTTTATAATCGTAGGGCAATTTTTGCATAATGTAGCCTACAAAAGTTCTGAAACACCTTGCATATCACGTATGAATGTATGCGAAAGCTAAATTTATACAGATGTATAAAATGAGTAGAAGCTGGTGTTTAAATTTATATAACATGCAGAAACACATACAAAGAGTGAAATGTTTTGCATATACGTATTATGCATATAAATGGAAAAATTCCAAAGAGTGCATGTCTAAAAGGGAGAAATGCCTGTACATGACTATTTTAAACAAGTCGTCAGTAGAAAAAATTATATATAATAAAGCTATCAAAGATACTACTAACCTCCCTGAGGTCATGAGGATTCACTTTTAGCATTTGCCTATGGGCCTGTATACCTCTTTGGTACACTAGAATGTGGCAACGGACTTTCTGAGATCGGTCCACATTTTCCAGAGTGAAGGAACAATGAAGGTTATTTTGGCGACCGTTCCATACATGTTGGAATGGAATCTCCTGAAAGGTAAATATAATGTAAAGCATATTAAAAAGAGGAAGAAATTTTCTTGTCTATTTCAGAGATGCATTGTTCGAGATTAATTATGCAGTTTGTGTATATTTATGAGAAAAGCAATGTAATGGGTAATGATTTAAATGAAAACGAGTATCTACCAACAAACCAGGTACATAAGAACGTTTAAAAGCTGAATATGTTTAATAGTATCAATGTTTAGCAGTTGAATTTACTTAGTTGCCGTGTTTTTTTCATGGTTTCTCAAGTTTTGTGAAATAAAAGTTAGTTTTCAATCTTAAAAAATCGCGCAAGGATGAGGGCCGCCTGAAGCCCACGCTTTGATGTATTTTTATCTCTTAACTAATTGTAACTTCGTATTAACTAACTGCATCGTATTTATTAATTAATTGTAGGTTGTGAGAATTTTGAAGAAATGTCTTAGTGAAATCTGTTGTAGAAATTTACGGCTAATGATTTTGTGTCCTTGAATATTCTTATTACGAGACAAGAAATCATTATCTGCCTATATCAAACCGTGAAGATGAGAGTAAACTTCAAACATTATACATTTCCATCAATTTTTTTACACTATTACGAATTTCGTAATGCAGTTAAAGTTTTGTTTTATTTTGCAGTCAAAGCTACCTAGACAAAATCCTGAAAATTATTTATTTTTATTTCGTGCTTTGATTTGAATTATTAAAGTATGATTATGACACGCAACAGTTGTTTTTCTTGCAATAAAAAATGCAAACAAAAAGAGAAAGGAGCTCGCAAACTAGAGATAAATTTAATAAAGTGTTAACGCGAGTCGTTGCGAACCTTCTAAAGCTCACCACTGGTGATTCAGCATAGTTTAGGACCTTTGCATATTAATTCACATTAAAAAATTAAACAGACTTCGCACACAAGCAGATACAAACAATAAACTTGCCTGATAATTAGCTCCTGGTTTACAACGCCATCCTTGGGCAACATCCTCCAAGCACAGGCAGAGATTGGCGCCGCCATCTTGGAAAGGCATCGATTTCGGACGGTCCACTAGTTTTCCACCGAGCTTTTGTTCCACTTGCATGACACCCTCAAATTAAAAAATAATTCTTATAGCAAAGATTTCAAGCTAACACATTTATTTATGGCTTTACTTAATGTTAACTCAACAACTTCAACTTTTGATTAGAGATACTGTCAAACAGAAAAATTAAACTTCATACGAACCATAGTTCTTTAATCACAACAGAAAGAGAGAATTTCATAAGAATATGTGATATAAGGTTTTGAATTTAAAGTGGATGGCTTCTTGTGAAAGAAAGATCACGTAAGTTTTAAATTTACAAAGCTTAGACCTTAATAACCGTTGAGTGAGTTTTAATGGTAATGCAGTAATACTATCATTACAGACCCTAAATATAACACCCTTGCCTCAGCAAATATGTAAATAGTAATTTTAGGTAATGGATAAAATAGAACGAAAGCCATTGAAACGGTAATATAAAAACAGTACTTACATATTACGCAATCGCTCATGACATTTGGCTACGATGGAACCATGAAAGTTGGCAAGATCCTGCCAAAGTTTTATCAGTCTTTCCTGTGGAATTCTGAGCCGCAGTTCCACCTGCAGCTCTTCCAACTGCGGCATCCACGAAGCCACTCAACGTTTGCAAAGTTAAAAGAATCGGAATTCTCGAACCTAGCTCATAGAGAGCTCTTTTGCGCTAGTGGTAGAGAATTCCACTCGAAAGAAACAGACCCAGATTCTATCCTTGAAGGGCAACGCGGTCTCTCCCACCACAGTTCTGATTTCGACCAATAGATGTCACCACAAGCAAAATCCTCCGTTTAACACCTGAATAATCGCGAGCTATAAATCAACTTCGGCCCGCGGACTTCCACAGAGATTCCAAAGCCTCCTAAACAGAACCATTCGGAGCTCGCCAAATGGAAAGGGTTTGAATCTTGAATGTAGCGCAAATGAACTCTTTTGAGTTAGTGGTAGAGAATTCCGCTCGTGTCATGGCCTCAGGTTCTCTACACCAAACCACTGAGTTCTTTTGTCCCAAGTTTCTGATTTTCACTCACAGATCTCACCACGAGCAAAAACATCCGCTTAAGACACTGAAAGCGTCATACAACTGCAAGCCGATAATTCAACCTTGCTCTGTGGACTTCCACACAATAAAACTCTCGTCATTCTATCTGGACAATCCACCAAATAACCACCGCTGCAGATTTGACTGGCTTCCTTTTTTGTGCTTCATAAAAAATCTTTCTTTCATTTCTATTGTTTTGTTAGGACATTGATTTTACTAGAGGCTTTGTTTCGAGAGCCCATACTTCCCGCGGTTGATTGCTTCGGATTCCTTTTTTTCTTCCAAAATGGAAGAAAAAAATGTAGCAATAACATTAATTTATGAAAATAAGGTGGCTTATCGAAAATAAATCGGGGTTACATCAAGTGAAGGCGCAGATGTTATGAGTATGTTATGAGGTAGTTTATTCATAACTGACTCTTCACTGGCTGCTATTAAATTGGCGCTTCTTCATGACAATTTTACGGTTGACGGGATAATACATAAGTACCATAAAACCTAATTACATCCTTTAAGTGAGATACTGAGTGCATGCACAGTTGGCTTACAAACAACTAAAACTTTAAACACTTTAAATATAGGTTGCCTTAAATACAAACGGTGATTTAATTAAAAAAATATTTCTGGATAAATTTGTACATATTGTGATATTTTATCCATTCTAAAGTATTATGAATAGACAATCTGACATAAGTGTTTTTTAAGTACACTTTATTTCTACGTTATGTAGAAAATTTAACATTGGAAATCCTATTTTAATAAACCTCTCAGCTCTTAAAGGTTCGTTTATACTCACAAATCCAGAAAATGTGTTCCTTTACTTAATATCAATTAAACGATTAGTTATTATCAGAAAGTTAAGGCATCTTATACGAAACACAATCAAAACCCTCAAAACTTTCTTGTGTAATATTTCATGAAGTCATTTTTTCAAACGGGTAGTTCATTTATGTGCAGTATGTTACTACCAGTTCTTGATTAGATGTATGTTTCCGAAAAGCCTTTTAAAATCATCTGAATTCAAATAGTATTGAATAAATATATTTTTCTCGGTACAAAAGTTAGAGATTAATATTTGCTCAGGTTAGATAGAACTGAAGTTATAGCTTTTACTGAAATATTTCCTGTTTTCAGAATTAAGGAATTATAATTAAACTTACTTGAAGAGCTGCTCTGGTGTCCTCAACGCAGTATACTCGAATGTTATAATCCACAGCTGAATACAAGGCAGGGGCAAAGGCCACCAGGGCTAAAGATTTTAGGGCCCAACCACCACTTTCTTCCGTCTCTCCGACGAGGGCGTAGCGGCATAAATGATCCGTGACCACATGACACTGGCGACCATCCAGTTGACAGTACAAGGGTGTATTGATTGTCTCATGTCCAAGGGTTACAACACTCTGCCAGAAATAATAATAGTAATATATAATAATATGTACAAGTTAGTAATGATTCTTTAATTCTTTAATTACACAGATAACTGTCATTCATTTAAATAATACATATTTAATCTATGGCAGCGGATTTATAATTTCGGATTAAAATTAGACATTTTTATTTCTTTTGTTAAAAAACATTTTATTTGTCACTTTTTTTACTGTTAAGAATTTACAGCAGTTTGATGAAGACTCCTAACTCTGTCAAAACTTAAAGAAGCATACCATCTAGTACAGAAATTTTATATTTTTTAAAACATATTTCTTAGCAGTAGGAAAACTCAAAAAGAACATGGCATACTTGAACTTGGCACACTCCATTTCTAGAACTTAAGCAGTAGAATAGCGAAATTTTAATATCTTTGTCATTTTGATTTATATCAGAAAAGAACCTAAATCCGTAAGAAGTTGTACTGCAAATTTCGTTGCAGAGACGTGAAGTGAGAGATTGCTAAACTATGCTAGATTCTTTTCAGATCTTTTCGGAGTGGGTTCTATCTTAACAGTAGTAATACGCAGTTCAGCCATATATGAAGCTTGATTCAAACACAGAAATAAAAACATTTATTTGAGACAAGCAATTCCTGTCATTAGAGGTCGACAAAGTTCTTACTGATCAAAACATCAACTAACGGCAAAGTTCTTACTAATCAAAACATCAACTAACATCCTCTACGCATAGCACCATCTACGTAAAACTTCTCTGCAAACCGTTACGAACTCTTAACAAGTTAAAGAGAAATCATAAGGTCGAAAGAGAGACAAGGGAAAAGAAATCCTTAGAAAAACCTTTACAAGATTTCAAAATTTCTGTGGAATGTTTTCTTGTCACTAGTGGACGAGTGGTAAAGTTGCTGAACCTCGGCCGTTCAACCGTTTTCAAACCCCGGAACTACTAAACTACACGGAACTTCATGTGCAATGGGGATACCAGCCAATTTTCGTTTGCGAAGGCATCCACCCATGCCAACACTCGTGTGTGCGTTGCCATAATATTTTTTTTTCCACTTTAATGGTACTTATAGGAATGTTTTGTTGTAGTTAAATAAAATCATATAATTAGGGGTTCGGTAAGATTCGACTATTTCGAAATATTAAATGGATATGTGAGCCACAAAGTTTAAAGATTTTTGAAGATACTGTTCATCCAAAAATGTGAGAACTCAGAACTGAATGAAATGCCACAACCCTACAAAAATATGAGTAGATAAATATCTATAAATTAGATTTCATAAATACACGCACAACTGTAATCATAAGTCATGCAAATTAATAACTGACAAAAGATAAACAAAGTATTAATAGTAACATCTACATTTAAGCCAAATCACAGGAGTGCAGTATATGGAAGTTTTCGATGGCAGGTAGCTCAAAAATAGTGATTTTTGTACTAATGTTATAGAGCACAGCTGCTATTTTAAGTGAAGAATTGCAATAAATCAGTTTTATTATACTTTTAATATCAAACCTCGGCCATTAAAAAAAAGAATATTATTTATAATTGAATGTCTAACAAAGATATTAATTATTAAGATAAAGGCGTAATTATGCGAGAGAAACAACATCTAAAATTATTAGTAATTACTGGAGAAAAAAATATATTGCATCTAAAGTAAACTAAAAATGCATTACTTATCCTGCAGTAACCAAATTGCGCATTAAAAATGGAAAGGCGCAGATTATTAAGTTATAGTCAAATTAAACTTCATTCAACAGTATTCTACTCAGAAAAGACTGGTTGGAACTCTACACAAATTAATGTGAGCACTGCAAAACTCTTTATTGGTAATTTTGACTGAATTGACAAAAGAATTAGATTTTTGAAGCTTTGTTGATGAAAATCTGTGCCATTTGGTCCAATTAGGCGCTTTATTCTAATTATAGAAATGCATTCATTTAATGCTTTGCTACTGAAAATACTATCCTAATCGCACCCAGATTCAATAGATGAAGGCAGGTTTGTTATGGTATAGGAAGAATATACAATAAAGAATACTTGACGATATTCTTCAGAACCTTTAGCTATTTTGAAAAGCAGCTAACATTCGCTTTCAGCGGTACAGAAAATACTTTCTGATACTCGTTAATAACTATACTAAAATAATGTCCTTGCCCAAGGAACAAAATGCACCTAGAACTAGTGTAATGAGTCGAAAATTAAATGAAAAGTTACATTAATACCGTTCACAGAGTAGTAATGTTAGAAAAATTTTATGAGGACATCTTGAATGAGAGGTAACAAAATGATTCCTCCACACTTTTATCACACATAGGACCGGAAGCATATAAGCAAACTGTACACTCCTAGGACAACCACTCTGAGTTAACCATTGAGAGTCAAAATAAGCATCGCCGTTAACTCCGCCTACTATAGAGATGTCACAGGGCTGAAAGTTCGTTTGCATTCATTGAAACTGTCTGAGATGTTTTTGAAATAGTACTCTTACAATAAGGGATGTGAATAAACCGAACACAGTATATATGGATACATTTTTCATAAAATATGTATACTTCTTTTTTTATTAAAAGATGTACTTAATTTTGAATGCGAAACATGGCTCACATAAGCCTCGCTTCCAGCCATATGGCATCATAATGGTGGGCGGAGTTATGAGCTGCACTTACTTTGACTCTCATTGGTTAATTTCTAGCGATTGTCCTAGCAGCGTCCAATTTGCTTATATGCGGACCGGAAGAGGCTTAAAAATGTTTTTTGCCCCTCATGAAAAACAGAAACACAAGCATTTATACCGAAACGCCTCTTCTTTAAGAGCTAAGTTAACCCTTTATTAACTTTTGACCTATTATATTCTAATTCTACTTTATTATTTACATGGACATATACAGTGTTGTTACATACTTTCCACTCGGGAGTTTCCTCTTCTGTACCACTGTCACTAGCATGGACACTGATTCTCCAGTTCTGGGCATTGAGTAAAGCACAGTGCTGGAATGTAATGATAGCAGACTTCTTTAACATAACACCACTAGGACCACAAAGTACCACAGGACTTAGGATAGTCTCTTTATCTGAAACAAGGAAATATGCTCATAAAAGTTAAAAATTAAGAAAAGCTCAAAATATTGATTTAGATATATAGAGAGAGCACATGAAAGCTGAATAAACGTTCAGATTCCTATAACTAGCAATTGTATCGTTAAACACAAAAATACAGGATTGTCGGAGAAAAAAACTTAAATGACAGTTTTCTTCTTCTACTTCAATTTTCAATTTTTGATTTTCAATCAAATTCAAATCAAATTTCAATATTTGATTCATTTTTATTGTCTATTAAATTTCTTGCAGGGCGGATTTAAAAATATTCTCATCAAGCCCCTGGAATTACAGTTTTACAGTTGCGGTATCTGTCGATATCTATTGTAATCTTTCAGTGTATAGTTTCTTAGAATTATGAATCTTTTCATCATACAGAACGGTCTTTGTTTCTTCCTTCAAAATAAATCCATCAAAGTAAGATAGTTCTCCATGCAACGTTTCTGATTATTTTTAGTAAAAGTAGGTTTTCCACTATTTGGAGTCCTGTTCTATCGATTAAAGTTTTTATGAACTGTTCTGGTTGATATCTTTATACTTCATACTCCCAAACTTTACGTTGCTTCATTTTATTTTAACATTCGAGTCTGCAACGTTTTATTTTTTAGTAACTTCAATGATCTTGTTATTTTTATCTTTACTGTCACTTCTACTTTCGTTTGCTCCCACTAGGATGCAAATTAACGTACGTAAGCATTTTATTGGCCACGGTTGCTCTCGTGATTAAAGGGCCTCAGTCAGAGTTTACAACAGGAATTTGTCGTTTGATTTGCACATTTTAAATTAATTAGTTTTACATTAGATTAAATTCTAGAAGCACCTGTGAATTGTTTTGCAATACATGATTTGTGCAGCTCGAACAATGAATATTCTAACAAAAGGTTTATTTTAAACCTTATTAAGAGTTCGTTTTTACTTTCACTGGAACTCTTAAGTCGAGGCGATACTACTTCCGACTGTCTACATAGAGCCAGAATTTAACTTTGAAGCACACGCCCGTTCCGTAAAAGTCATTTTAATGTGGTTATAGTTTTGGATATGAATGTATTTACAGTTTCAGTACCCGGGACGTTGTAAAAATAAGTAGCTAAGAAAAAAAATGACGATACGAATCGTTTCCATTTCCTTTTCACATGTTTAGAATTAAACAAATATTACGCATTTGTTGTCGAAAGATACTAATTGGGAAACATGTTCATAAAAACTTTTAAGCTGTTACTAATAATATGTAGGTTTTACGTAAAAATTATACAAATATATGTTATATATATATTTAATCATCTTTCCTTTCATTTTTCAGTTAATGGCGAAATTCACAGATCCCCATTCTATTTCAAGCGTAAATCTTTTTTAGCCACTAGCGCTATAAACATGCTTATTATAAAGGTCATCATTTGGGAAGACGTACGAATATATTATAAAATGAAAGTTGAAAAAACTGAAACAAGCTTTCACCAGCTTATGCAGGAGTCAAAGTACCAAAAATGCTCGCATATATTTACTAATCAGTACAACGTGTTAATATGAAAAGTTGCTCTGGAACACTTAAAGACTAATCTGAATCATAATTAATCAATGAACTAACTCCTTGATATTTAAAACTCTCCAAATATTTCAAAGAAAGCATGCGCGGTGTTAAGACTAACATTACTAAGATAATTAACATTCCTGATTTAAACCTAAGTAATACAGTGACATGGACAAAGCACGGATCATCTGTGATTCTTTGAAATGCTTTGGTTTCAAACTGCAATACATTCTTCATGTGAAATGTATTTTTTATACTGCATTTGTTGAAACTGTAAAAAGAGAGCTGGATGAATTACCATTAGTTATAACTGTCTTTTTAGTTTCAAGCTGAAGTAAGAATTTTGATCACAAAACTGGATATCTCTCTCTATAACATAAAATGCTCTGATTACAGCCCACCAACAAAAGCATTCTTGAATTCACGTGATAGTGTGAAGCTTTCTGCAAATGAAATTTTTTTCCTACAAACGGAAATGCTAACGTCTGCGCACGTTTTAAACAATGAAGCCAAATGTAAGATTTTATTTGCTTTCGAAAGGAAATTTTAATTTTTCAGAAAATAAAAAAGTCTACACGTTACAGTTCTCTCACTTTAATAAAATGGCTCTCAGGTGGCATTTTAAAATATATTCTGTTACTAGGATGTCTCAACTCAGCGTTTTCTGTGTTTTTATTATTACAGCTCATTTACTTAATAAGGTAAATATTTTAAAAGCGTAATATTTTAATAATAGTACAGTTTGTTAATCATCCAATATCTGCTTAGTAATATCAGCGTTTAGTTAATTAAAATTATGTAAAAATATAATGTTTATAAGTTAAACCAATCTCAATGTACAATAATTTGCAGCGTCATCAACATGTTCACTATAAACGTTCCACCTGCACATTTCATATAGTTTTAAAAGGTGAGCTAAGGGAAGCTACGGAAGAAAGGAAAGCGTATTTCTGGGGTTGCGGAAGACTTAGCGAACACGGGGGAAATATTAATGTAGCTTTAGTCTTTCTGATAATTAATTTTAGAAGAAATTATATATTTGATAATTCTTAGAGGAATAACACAATGCTTCAAGAATAGCATCTGAAATTTAAACTATACAACCAAAGAATAACTCTATAAGAACTCAAAACTAAAAGTCAACATTCTTCATTTTCAAGTAAAGAAAATGTATTACCAGAAAGCCTAGGCCGATCTTTGTCTTCTCTAAGTACAGCAACATAGACTTCAACATTTGCTCCTTTTTTAATTGCTCCAGGAGGGATAGTCAGAGTAATACCTAGAATAAATAGGAAGATATTATTTCAGATACTCAGCAATATTAGGTTAAAAAATATCCCTTTGAAAAATTGCGCAAATTTAATGTTAGTTTCATTAATTAATTTATAACATTTTCGCTCCATTTTACATTGTTAATTTCATTTTACATGGTTTAGCAAATAAAAAATATTTCTAAACTACTTAGAAGTTTCTTGTTTCAAAACCTGCATAGACTCTTGTTTTGCCGTAGATGACGATCTCGTTGTTTAGAATACGGACAATTAAGATGAAAAAGTAAGAAACTAGCAAACAAGCCACTTAATTGCACCCCTTTTGTCTCAAAGGAATACAGCAAAATATCTTGTAACCGTTCTCCTTCAAATCTGGGACGTAACTAGTCGTATTGCCACCTATAACTGGAAAGTTTTCTGCCACTTATAAGTTGTCCAAGCCTCATGCAATTTGTTTAGATGTTATTGGAGAAATGAGATAAATCAATGGTTTCAAACTGTATGCGGGCCGAGTGCTGGGTCTTAAAGCAGCTGATAGGCAAGAAAATTTTTTAAATGAAATTTTAAAAATATTTTTAACAAAACAAAACAAAAATATTAAAAAAACCTGAAAGGATTCAGGTTTTAATGATATATTCAAAAGGATCTGTTAAGTTTTTGTTTTTTTCTTACGATTTCGCTGAGATCACAGTCTACCAGTGTGCTGCTATTGTCACTCCTGCTAATACATTTCTTTTTGCTTTTATAGCCGTATTATTAAGAATCAATTTCTTCGCACTTACGCCATATACAATTCATCACCAAAATTATAAAAATTTTAAGAGCAACATATGTTTAGAATCCTCGATTCAGTATTGATATGTATTTTCCAATTTTTTTTTTAGCTTTTTCTCAGTTCACAATATCAACGTGTAGTTTTCTTACTCAGATGGCTTGCAAAACTTTACTTTTTGTCCTTTTATTATAAACGTTTAGTGCGTTAACTTTATTTATTAAATATCATGTTTTTCGCACTTACGCCATATAAAAAATTTAATTCAACAGCGAAACCACAAAACATATAAAAACAATATATTTTTAGAATTTCCGATATAGTATCGCGCGCTGTAATAAAAATGCTTTATTCCGTACAGTGTTGCCACTGCTCGTTTTCCAACCGTTGAGTTTATTAATCAAAAATCTAATCTAAACTTTTACAAAAGTATGAAATAGACAATAGAACAAATTCGAAATGCAAAATTCGGGCTTCCAGATGCATCTGTACCTGACGATTATGCTGGATGGGGAGAAGGCTTCTTCACTGAACTGTCTCATTATGTACTACAAACGACATGTTATGCAAAGAATATCTATAGTTCAAATTCTTTCTTATAACTCACAAGTACATTTATAAGCATCAAGGGTTTATAACATTACCAATTAGCAGAATATCATAATGATATATTCCAGTTTTACTCCAGTACGGATTTAACATATTGTTACGAATTTGGTATTTAAAAAGCTAATGTTAGTTCAATTATAAATTAAATGGTTTTATTTCTCGCGCAGTGCAGCGCGTGACGAATATTAAAAGAAAGCTAAGCCGGAAAATTTAAAAATACTAGAGCGCGTGCGTTAAATAAATAAATATCTCTTTTTGATTTCGAGAAAGTACTGGAAAATTCTAGCGCGTGATTTTAAAAGCTTATAAAAGGAGGAAAACATCTCAGTTTGTAGTAGTTGCTTAGTTTGTTGTTGTTTAGAAAACTGCTCTTGTTGATTATAGCGAATTCGCGGATTAGCGTTCTTTAGCTGTTTTGAATTACGTTCTATTGTACATTTGAGTAGTTAAAAGATAACTACTCTGAGATATTGTAATACTGCATGATAATTTGAGAAAATTTAAGCATTTTTGTTGTGATAATAAATTTTTGCTCATTTTTCAGCGGACTTGTGCATTCATTTCATAACGAACCCGTACGCACACAACAATTTTTGGTGGCAGCGGTGGGATTTGAATGCCAATAACAAGAGGGATGGAAGAACAATTGAGACAGCTCATTACTGCTTTTGCTGCTTTCCAAGAAAAGATGGAAGCTGGCCAAACATCTTTTAAAGAAGAAATTAAAGAGAAAATGGATGCTGGTCAAAAAGGTCCGTTAAAAGAAGAAATGAAATTAGGGCCAGGAATCCCTCAAGGAAGAAATGAAAACGGCACAGGAACAAATGAAGTTGGGCCAGGAATCCGTTAAGGAAGAGATGAAATCTCTTAAAAATGAGATGAAAGCAGGTCAGGACGAAATGAAAAGGGAAATTACCTGCGTAATAGAAAATAAATTTGAGGCTATGGAAGGCAGAATAGACGCGGTTGAAACTAAAGTTGGACAAATAGAAGAAAGAGTTTCTTCGGTAAAAGAACAAGTAGAAGGAAGAATTTCTTCTGTAAAAGAACATATAGAAGAGAGAGTTTCTGCCGTCGAACAAGAAATTGATGATAGGGTTTCTGCTGCCGTCGCCAAAGAAGTTGACAGCCTAAAGAAGTGCATAGCGACGGTAGGAAACAATTCTGAAGGTTTCAAATTTTTATCGATGCCTGCTCGTTCCGTTCTGAAACTATCTACATATGATGGGAAGACCTCCTGGCAGGTGTATAAGACACAATTTTCTATCGTTGCGGATGCGAATGGATGGGATTCCCAAGCTAAGGCCTGTCATCTCGATCTCGCCGCTTCTCTGAGAGCAGACGCAGCGGATATCCTGCAGACGCTTCCCGAAAATCAAAGGCTAGATTTCGAAGCTCTATCCGGCGCTTTGGAGCTGCGCTTCGGCGAGAAATGTTTAAAAGACTACAGCAGGCTCCAATTAAAATCTCGTCAACAGAAGCCTCACCGAAACGCTTCAGGAGCTCGCCACGGATGTTGAAAGGCTGTCACATCATCGCCTTTTCGGAGTGCCCGACAGAAACAAGGGAAATCCTGTCCCTGCAATACTTTCATCGATGGCATCCGGGACCCTGAAATACAGAAAGCACTGCGAATGGCGGATGTAAAAGATTTGAAAAGCGCTCTGTGTGTACGCCATGAAGTTCGAGGCAGCCCAGGAAGCAACTAATAGAGATCGCTACCCAGTTAGAGCTGTGCGAGTCCATGAGCCAGTGGATCAACTGATGGCTCGTTTAGATGATTTAGCCAGACAAGTCGAAGCTTTGATACGAAGTAGGAGCGAGAAGAAAGTGGCTCCAAGGTGTTGGAGATGTGGTAGTGAAGGTCACCTAAGACGGAATTGCAGAACGCCCCAGGGTACGGAATATAAAGCAGATAATTTTACCAGACAAGTCAGTGGCTTGAGACGGAACAGAAGTGAAAAGAAACTAGTTCTAAAGTGCTGGAACTGCGGAGTTGAAGGCCACATACGAAGAAACTGCAAAACACCCCGAGGTACGGAAAATAAGACCATTTCCCAGCAACGACGCAGTAAACAAATCAGTGACCATATCGAGGAACGGAGGTTGCCAGATAAAAAAACCTTGTTTTAAAAAAAGCGCTCTAAAATAAAATTATACAGTGAGTGGCAACAGTAACGGAATGTCCATTAATGGGAATATCGATGGAGTTCCTTGCGATATGATCATTGACACAGGAGCTAATGTTACCATCATTAGGAAAGACTTAGCTGAACAGTTTAAAGATACACTTATTTGGACGCCATCCTGTGTTACCCTTCAGACTGCGTCTGGTGATAAAGATCGACATAGCTGGGAAGTTAAACGTGAAAATCACATTTGGAAGTGTGCTGCCTACCATCACACGGCATATGTGGCAGATATATTACAGATCCATGCATACTCGGATTGGACTTTTTAAGGAAATACAATTTTTCCTTAGACTTGAAAAACAACAAAAACTGCTTTCAGGATTTGAAGACATGACTATCCATCCTAAGAAGGGATCCTCACCTGGAAATGGCGACGCTTTGTCCGAAAGAACCAGCTCGAGAAAGCCGAAATCATGCTAAAGTCGAAAAGAAACACCAGACTACCAGCTATTCTCCATCTCAGATGCTCTTCGGTCGGTCGAGACCTTCGTCTGCCTTGTGACCGCCTGTTTCATCGCCGTACGGATGCGCCTTCATCGCCTGAGGAACACATCCAAGATGTCCAGGCCCGTTTTTGAAGTGATGCACCGTTCAGCACGAAAGCGAGTGAACTTGGCGACGGAGAAAGTGAAGACCAGATACAACGCGAGAGCTACTGGACATAGATTCAACAAAAGAGACAAGGTGTGGTTGTGGAACCCGATTCGGCGAAAAGGAGTCAGTCCTGAATTACAGTACAGTCACCTTCGGATGGTCCCTATACAGTCCTGAAGAGACTGAATGACGTCATGGATTCGTAAGTCTTCGAACTCTAAACCTAAAGTCGTTCATTACGACAGGTTAGCTCATTACTATGGCCATAGTACGTAATGTAAATAATTGTAAATAGTATCAGACCATGGTCCTTTTTGTTTTATAAATGTGATTTAGTATTTGATTTGTATTTAGTATTTTATTTGCATTTAGTATTTGATTTGTACTTAGTATTTGTTTTGTATTTGTATTTGATAGCATTTGATTTGTTTAAGTTAGTTATTGCATTTATTGTTATATTGTTTGATATTGTAATGTAATGTTTATGCCTCGTTGCATTTATGCCACAGTTGTAAGTTTAGCTTCCTGTCCAGGGATTGTACTGCCCGGGACGTGCAGTCCTTGGGAAGGGGGCAGTGTTACGAATTTGGTATTTAAAAAGCTAATGTTAGTTCAATTATAAATTAAATGGTTTTATTTCTCGCGCAGTGCAGCGCGTGACGAATATTAAAAGAAAGCTAAGCCGGAAAATTGAAAATACAAGAGCGCGTGCATTAAATAAATAAATATCTCTTTTTGATTTCGAGAAAGTAAAGAAAATTCTAGCGCGCGCGTGATTTTAAAATCTTATAAAAGGAGGAAAACATCTCAGTTTGTAGTAGTTGCTTAGTTTGTTGTTGTTTAGAAAACTGCTCTTGTTGATTGTAGCGAATTCGCGGATTAGCGTTCTTTAGCTGTTTTGAATTACGTTCTATTGTACATTTGAGTAGTTAAAAGATAACTACTCTGAGATATTGTAATACTGCATGATAATTTGAGAAAATTTAAGCATTTTTGTTGTGATAATAAATTTTTGTTCATTTTTCATCGGACTTGTGCATTCATTTCATAACGAACCCGTACGCACGCAACAATATTGTTGCGTCCGTACGGGTTCGTAATAAATTGAATGCTCAAGTCCGATGAAAAGTGATTAAAATTTATTCTTATCACAACGAATAAAAACAAAATGCTGAAGTTTCCTCAGCGATAATCCCACAGTAGTTATATTTTAAACTACTAAAATATCTCACAGAACAAAATTCAAAGCTCAGAAAGGTAATCCAATTTCACCGCGAATCCGCTACAGTAAACAAGAACAGTTTTCTAAACAACTACTGAAATTCAGATGTTTTCCATCAGCTTTTATGAATTTTTTAATCATGCACGAGAATATTCTCGTATTTTCTCGATTTTTCTGGATAGCAAAAACAGTTACGAGATATCTATTTATTAAATGCGCGTGCTCCTGTATTTTAACTTTCCAGCGTAGCTTTCTCTTCAAATGAGTCTCGTGCTGCATTGCACGGGAATATAAAACAATTTTAATTGAAAATTCTACTAAAAATAGCTAAATAAACACAAAAACCGTAACAATATCAATAATACCAATCGTAATAGTAGTAATAAAGAAAGTCTGGCGGTCAGTTAATGTTCTTTGCAACCAAGTTTTACTACATTTAAAAAATTTCAAGTCAAAATGATTACATACTCCAGTGTTGAGCTTGATAAACACAATTTATGTTTTCTTACCTGACCCGGATATTGTTATCCGCCCTCCACTTTTGGTAACTGTACCCCAAGCGATGCATTCGATGTCCAGATTTGGCGGGAGAGCTGCTGATGTCACAGAATGCCGTCCGGAGGGAAGTTCTGAATCCGATAAAGTCGAAGGGTGGGATACTGGGAAATAAAACAAAAGTTATTAGCATAAAAGTAGGACTTGTCACTGAAGTTCTACTGGTCGTTAAATAATTCCCTACCTCCCAAATGGTGCTGTCAAAGATGACTAAGCAGAAATCGGAAATAAAAATAAAAATAAAATATAATAAAAATCTATAAAAAGGTATTCACAATTTTCTTTTTCTTTTCAATGTTTTCCTTATTTTTTTATAATTTACCTAATTTTGTTAACTAACAATCAAGATTTTCATTATCTGTTGACAAGTTGGTCTTCATAGATGCAAATAATTAACTTGTATTTTTTTTAATAAGCAATTTAGCTTTTGCGAACTATCCTTTGGCTTATCTTCTCAGTTTAGCCTCATTTCAGAAACATACAAATTTAATCAGCATTCAAGAGAAAGCAGCGGGTGTCAGGACATAACAGCAAATTCCAAGTCATTTTACCGATCCGAAATCCAAGTAAATTCTATCCATTCTTCAGCACCAATGCTCACCACTTTGTTATAATTTACAGTACAGCTGATATTGTATATGAAACTGTAGTTGAAGTGGTACACAAATTTAATTTACTGTTTCTAGATTCTGTAAGAGCTCCTAAAGGTTAGCCATTAGTTATTTACTTTAATTCTTGTTACTTTCATAGATTTAACAGATTCATTTATACTGTATTAAATTTTACTACTTGCTCCATAGGACAACAAATCCTCTTTTCCAAAGCTAGAAAAACATTCACCGCGATTTTAACGTCAACTGGCTTCCGTTGCCTATTTTCTTGCCCAGAACGTTTTCTCTTCAAACCTAAGGATAACGTTTCCTCAAAGCATTTGGTGTTTATGTAATACCATCAACGTATTACTGTTGCTTGGATATATCAATCTCACAAAAAGAGCACAAGATTTAAATGGTTATATCCTTTACTGGTAAAGGGTTCCTTTCTCTCACCATGAGTGCCCCCCCCATACTGGATTATCAGCTTTATACTATTGTAGACTCTGAATCAAACCAGAAAATTAAATTTGCACATGGTAAGATGCACTGCGGAAAAAAAAAAGACAATTTTTATGTCTGCCGTTCTACTGGGCCGATTGACGAAATTAAAATTGCGCTTTTCATGTCTCCGAAAGCGCGATTTAGGATATATATTAGATTTATACATAGCGTTGCTCTAACATAGATACTTTGACACAAAATCGAACTTTTTCTGATATGACATGCCAAATATTTCTCATATTTCGATTCTACGACTCAAATTATGCCTAAATATAAAATTTTGTTAAATTTGGTGCGAAAGTTATGGAGAAATTCAAAAATTTATCTTGGCGTATTTTTATCAGTTTGCGTCAAGAATTTGGCGAACATTTTAATTTATAGCAACCTATTTTCCTTTCCATTTTTTCATTGTACACGACGGAAAAAAAGTCATTTTTCATACTTTCAAATAAGTTTAACAAAGTGCGTAAACCACATTTAGCGTTATTATCGCTTATATATTTATATATATAAGGAAGAGTCTGTCTCTGTGTGTCTTGGTTCATGCTGTGCGTAAGCTAATAGACCCAAGGCTACGAAATTTGGTACATGGGTACATCTAGACAAGAGCCAATGTACCTCAAAGCGCTTTTAAAATTTCGAATGAGTTTTTTTATCTTAATGAGTTTTTTTGATGGAATCGAATCAAATCGATAATTCTTTCCCATTATATTGTAAGGATCTTAAGTTTTACTAACGTTTATTTTTTGCTGGTTGCCTTCCAGGCCAGAGGTTTAATCCTCTTAATAATTTTAAACGTATTGTAGTGTTAACAGTTCTCTGTACTACATACGGTTTCCTGTTAATATACGGCCAATCTTCCACGTAGGCCCTTGTTTATTATTCCAAAGTTAAAGTTAGAGTTTAGTTAATATTTTATATTCTTACGTTCAGACCACAAGTGGTTGGTCTCTGTATTCCGAAGTCCGGAAATCATTGTAAAGAGTGAAAAATAAAGGGTTTCGTATACCCTTCCTGTGTATCTTGTACTTCCCACATTTATTGAACATAGCTTTAGTAAGCTCCCTGTTCCGAGTCAGGTCTTTGAATGTTCCCAAAGAAAGTAAATAGAAACACTGAACCTGATAATATCAGCAACAATGGTCCGCAGACATTGTTGCTGATATATCACTGTTGCCATTGTTGCTAATATCAGCACCGTTGCCATTGTTGCTAATATCAGCACTGTTGCCATTGTTGCTAATATCAGCACTGTTGCCACTCGGAAAAACGAGGGCTATAATTCTGTGCAGTTTTTAAATTTGTTTCTCTTGGATACTGGACATTTGTCGAGAGAAGAATGGTTAATTTATTTTTTGGGATAATTAATATTTGTATTAAGGGGTATAATATCATTGTAATTTTTTTTATATGTAATACATTTTTATTGAAATGTTCGTTTTTTTTTTTTTTGGATAAAGTTCTGCAGAGTAAAATTTAGTGCAGTTTTTAAATTTAATGATTGGTGTTGTTCCCTTTAAGCATTTTTTTGGTACATTTAAAAGCCAGACGAAGGCTCGCAGCCGCGTAGAGGCTAGTACCAAATATGCCAAATTTTAAAACCCGAAATATGTAAATTCATGTATATCTTAGAAAATTTTAAATAAAAAAACTAATTTTTTTGCAGGGATGCCTAGAAATACATCTACTTATAAGATGATGTTAACAATTTTATAGGTTACAATTCAAAATTTTTTTCGAAAAATTTATAAAAATGATTTTAAAATGTAAATTTTAAAAATAAATCATAAAAAATAGGCGAATTTTATTTGGAATGAACCTAAATTTCGAAATATGAAAATAAGAATTAATTAAGTTTAATAAAAAAAAGATATTAACAAATATATACCAAACTCAATTAACATTGAGGAACTAAAATTTCGAGAGCTAATAGTAGTATAAAATGCGGGTTCTGCCACACGCGGTGTGGGCGTGGTCAATGACGTCACACAGAGGGCGGGGGCAAAGGCAACGTCATCACACTAGGAGGCGTAATCACGAGTACAGTTGAGTTGTTGGTAGATTGCTGGTTGAGTTGTAGACCTCCTGCTTTTCATTTAAAGTTAGTTTTTTAAATTGGCAACAGGAACTGTTTTCTGCATCTTAATTTTGATGAAATGGCGATGCTGTCCTCTCTTGACGAAAAAGTGAATTATATGTTTTAGAAATATATTTTTAAGTCTGGTATTAAATTATTCAATGCGCGACTCTGAAAACAATGTAAAAGAAACAAATATAAAAAAGACTTTCCTTTAATAATAGTTCATCATGTCATGAAAATGAAACTATAAGATAATTTTTTTTTATTACTCAATTTTATTCTAATACATTTATCCTTTCTAGTTTTCCATGAAACTTTAACTTATTTCTTAGGTTTTCTGTTCATAATAACATATTCATTTACTGTCATCATATTTTTTTAATACTTAAACGTTTCTAATTTGTAATATTTTATTTAATTTCCACATACTATTTTTTTTTCATACCTTTCATAAATTTCAGCATAGCATACCTGATTTTTAAATTATATGTTATATTTCACAAACGTTCCCGACCATGCTGTTTATTTTGTTACACTACTTAATTTTAGATGCAATTTCACACTTTGTTTTTTTTAACGTTATAATTGTTCAAAATATATCTGAATTTTAACTTCATTTACTTTTTTTTAACCATTCTAGTATTCTATATTCATACACACTTTTACTTAGTGGTTTGAAATTCTATTTAAAAAGAAACGTTTATTATTTTTCGTGATCTTAGTTCTTTTACTAAATTTTCTACACAGAATTTCTAATTTCTTTTTTTTCACATTTCAACAATATCTTCCTTACATTACCTAATTTTATTTTTTCAAAAAAACTTAAGTCTATAACTCTTAATTGCTTTTTTTACGTTCACGATTTCCCTTCTGTGTTTATATTTCTTAATTCTAGTTTAACTTATTTATTATAATGTTTTTATTTCCGTCTCATGACTCGTAGTTCCAACATTTTAACCCTTTTTATTCATTTTAACGATATGAATTGTTTTCATTTATTCCATATTCAAACATTTCCTTTCAATTTTTAAAATACTTGTTTTATTCTCCAATCATAATAGATCATCTACAGGTTTTACTCAGAAATTTCCATTCACAACTTTACAGTTTAATACCATTTATATCTAAATGCATTTCTTTCTCATATAGTTTTATGGTCTTCAAAGTTTCTAACATCATGTTTAGTTTTAAATCCCGATTACTTTTAAGTGTGTTGATAATTTTCATTTCTAATTTTACAACCACGTTCAGTGTTTCAATCCACACATACCAAAATATTTTCTTACATTTTCTGATATTTAGTCTATGTCATGTTTCAGTACTACAAATGAATTTACACTGCTCACACTATTATTTTTTCATGTTTTAGAGACACTGACTATACTAATTTTACTATTTTTTCTGCAGTAATTGCATCTATGTCAGCACTCATGATAAACTAGCAATTGTTTTGCATCACATGCATAAAGAAATTCTTAAAACCAACTTTTTCAATATCAAACTCAAATTACTGTTTTCCAGATGGGAATTACCAGTATTCTTTAGTTTTACTCTGTTACATCTTTTTAAATTTTAACATCTTACTTTTAATTCTAACATACATCTTTTGAACAGTTTTTTCTTTTAATGATAGCCTTACCTTATCTGTTCAAATTAATTCTTTAAGTCACCTTCTTTACTACCTTTCAGTACCTTCATAATTCACTATGCAAACGCAGTGTCTTTCACTGACATTCTGTTTGATAATACTACGAGTTTCCTTAATTGACAAAAGGCGAATTATTTCTCATTTCAAAATAGAACTACTATATTTTCGCACAAACATTACCTTCATCCATTCAAGACGCCCCTTAACCTGTAACTGACGTAGCGATAGGAAAGGAGACTCTTATCATATGCTCTTTCGACATTTGAGGTTTTTAGAACC